ATAATAATAATAAAATAAAATTTAAAAATCTTAAAAACCCACACCTAAGATATTCATTTGCCAGAAAGCAAATCAGCTTTGCCAGACCATGTTGTTGTTTCACCTCTGGTTATTGCTAACTGCAATTTTATAAGTGCCTACTGATGCTCCAGGTACTAAAGTAGGTGTTGTATGTGCATGATTTCGCTTAGGACCATAACAAATTATGAATAAGGCAGTAGTCACCCCTTGCACAGATGAGGAAACTAATCAAAAAAGTTAAATCCCTTGCCAGGGGTCCCACTGCTTGTAGGTACCAGTGACTCTATCCCATGGGTATAGTGGCCAGAGGTTAAAGATGCCTTCTCTAACTCATGGCTCTCTTGAGTCTTATGTGGAGTAGAAGGCAGAATTAATGCCAGATGACCCTAGAAAGGAAGCTATTGACAGGTCACTCCAAGAGGACCACTTTTGAAGGTGACCAGCCCAGCAACCACATGCTGGACACGGGGGCAGTCAGTACTGGCCCCAAAGCAAAGATGAAGTCTGGGGGTTGGGGTGTAGGAGAGGAAAAAATAGTGCTCAGAAGGTGCTTATGAAGGGCCTTGAAGAAAGTTTAGTTTGTCTGGAAACCACTCACTGAGACTGGATGGAGGAGGCAGTTAAGGCAAGTCTGAAACGGCCCCCCGTTGATAACATGAGAGGGCATTTAGTGATGAGAAGCTGTCATCACTGGAACAATCTATCGCAGGGAATCTTTGTGGCTCTAGCCTCCCTTTCAGCCTAATTATTTGATTGACAATGATAAAATGTGCTGGGCTTAACCTGAATAAAGTTTCTGCCTTACAAACTTGTTAAATTCAACCTAGGGAGGAAACTCAATGTACTGGGAAACATACAGGATTTGGAATGAGAGGTCTGGATTGGGCTTCATCACTTACTACTATATATTATAATTAATATTAGAGAGAATAAAATAGTTACCACTTACTGAACAATTACTACATGCCAGGTACTATATGCTATCCCTCACGTACGTTTTTAAATTTCATTTCTCATAAGAACCCTATGAGGATAAATACTATTATTGTCCCCGTTTTATAAAGATGGAAATAGAGGCATAAGAAAGTCACGCGGCCATTAAGTAGCAGAGCTGGAACATTTTTAGATTAATTAATTAATTTTTAAATTTAAATTCAATTAATTAACATATTATTAGTTTCAGAGGCAGAGTTCAGTGATTCATCAGTCTTATATAACCCAGTGAGCAGAGCTAGAACTTAAACCCATGTTCAAATCACTCATGCCTGGGTGATTTTGAGCAAGACATTTGATCGCTGTGAACTTTGGTTTCTTTACTTCTAAGGTAAGGAGAAGAGTATCCGACCTACCGGAAGTGGGACAGTATAGCATTTTGTTTGGCAGCCTTAGCTTTTGTGTCAGACAGATGTCGAAAGATGACCACACCCATAACTTACTAACCCTGTGACCTTGAAGTGGTGACTTAGCTTCTCTGGGTTTCTATTTCCCCATCAACAAAACAGGTTTAAAAATTGTACCTATCACATTGGATTGCTTTAAAGACTGAAGGATAAAATGTATCAATTAATAGTGCATTTGGAAGCCTAGAAAACCTGACCACAGTGGCCTAAACAAATTGGGTTTTATTTTTCTTACTAAACAAGAAGGCTGAAGGTAGGCAGCTGCTTCCGCTGCCCAGTGATATCGGGCCAACACCTCTGACATTCCCTTGGCCTCTCCCTTTTGCGCCTTTTGCAACATACTCTCAAGTTGGCTACTGTCCTTCCAAGCATCCCCTTCAGTTCACGAAGAAGGCTTAACAAGACAGCAACAGGTTTGTTAGAAACCTTCCAGCAGACTCCTGCTTGTCTTGCTGACCAACCACAGCTCTGAGGGAGGCTGAAAAACAGGAACCCAAATTCTCACAATTGGCTTAGACCCAATCAATCAGTTTAGGTAACAACAAAAATGGAAGTGTATCGGATACTGGGTGTGAAACTTACAGTGTTTGCCACAACAAATAAAATATGTAGAAACAGCCTGGCTCGGAGCAAGGACTTCATGATAATGATAATAATCATGAGAATATTACTATTATTAATGATAGAGCAATAATGGCTAAAATTTGTTGAGTGGGTACTATAAATCAGGGGCCGTTTTAAGCATTTGATATGTGTTAATTCACTTAAACCTCCTAACAATCCCATTTTACAGATGAGGATCCTAAGGTACAAAGGGGTTCAGCGAATTTGCTCAAAGTCACACAGTCCGCAAGCACCACAGCCCATCAGTGTCTCGATCTGCACTGTCCAGGATGGGGGCCACTAGCTACATGTGGCAACTGAGCACTTGAAATGTGACAAGTGCAATCGAGGAGCTAAATTTTAAATTTTATTTAATTTGAATTAGCTTAAATTTAAACTTAAAAACAGATACTCAGTTCAGTTACTGGAGACTTTTAAATAAGTTTGGTACAAGTTGAGTGTATGAATCTACTTTTTCAACCAAAGTTTTAAAAGTCGAAAAATACATCAAGTATTTTTTTAAACGATTTTATTTATTTATTTGACATACAGAGAGAGAAAGCGCACAAGTAGGCAGAGTGGTAGAGGGAGAGGGAGAAGCAGGCTCCCCGCTGAGCAGAGAGCCCAATGTGGGGCTTGATTGTAATAGAATTTAAATAAAATAAAAATTACAGTTGTGGCTTGCATTAAATTTCTATTGGGCAATGCTGATCTAGATAATATCTGTCTCATCATTTCTTTCTTTCTGGCACTATCTGTCAATTTTCATGTATCATTCACTATTTCTGAGTTATTTTATTCACCTAAATATTCATGAATGTCTGATAGTTTTTATCAAACCACTTTTGCAACTAGCTTAGTTGTGTTATTATTTATGAAAATAATAAAATGAATAGAAATCTGACAATAGGAATGGTTTATGCCAATTCTTTTGGAGCAGGGATTTGTAATAACAAATAAACATCTTGTTTGAGGGGTGCCTAGGTGGCTCAGTCAGTTAAACGTCAGACTCTTGATTTTGGCTCAGGTCATGATCTCAGGGTCATGAAATCAAGCCTCTCGTGGAGCCCTTTGGTGGGCTCCTTGGCGAGGAGTTTGCTTCTCTCTCTCTCTCTCTCCCTCTGCCCCTCCCCCCACTGGCATGTGTGCTCTCTAAAATAAATAAATAAATCTTTAAAAAAAAATCTTGTTTGAGCATATACACATATGTATAGTTTATATTTTAGAGCATAAATTAACCATCTATCATTTTAACCTCAGTTATTTAAAATTCCTTAAGAATTTTTTCCCCTGTGTTTTTAGTTTCTTGGGGAAGTTATTTTGATTTTGCCATTAATTGGAACAAACATCTTGATGATGAAAATGTTAAGTTCCTATTATATGAAGACCTGAAAAAGGTGAGATTATGATTATTGACATTCTATAGCAAAATTTCTTATAAAATATAACATAGAGCACTTACTTTTAATGTCTGGTTGTGTGAATATTGTATTCAATTAAAAAAAAGAATATTCCAAATATGTAGGAGAGGTTAGGGAAAAAAATACAATGCATAGGGGCTTAGGATTAAACAGAAATAAAATAATGCTTAGCAACTTATGATTAAGAGTGGCTGCTTTATTTTCCTGCTATGATAGATGGTCCAATTTAAGAATGGCAAAAATAATAGGTAGGTTTCAGTTGAGATTTAAATGAACATGCATTTGGCTGTGAATTGATTTTTCCATATGATGTTATTTTTTTTTTAAGATTTATTTATTTATTTATTTGAGAGAGAGAGAATGAGAGAGAGCATGAGAGGGAGGAGGGTCAGAGGGAGAAGCAGACTCCCTGCCGAGCAGGGAGCCCGATGCGGGACTCGATCCCAGGACTCCAGGATCATGACCTGAGCCGAAGGCAGTCGCTTAACCAACTGAGCCACCCAGGCGCCCTGATGTTATTTTTTAAATTGTTTATCCATGAACATTTAGTGAGTGAGTGCTCAGCATTGTTCTAGGCCCTTGTGATACATCAGTGAACAGACCAGACAAAGTTCACTGGCCTGGAGAAGCTTACCTTCTAGCTAAAGAAGGCGGGGAGAGAGAATGGTAAATAATAAACACAGTATTTTTTTAATGTTTATAATATTTAAGACAAAAATGGCATAGCTGATTAAGGAAAATTGGAAATGTTAGGTAGGGGTGGGGAACTGGGATGCTGGACATATCCCAGTATAGAATAGGGTAGTTGGCGGAAACCTCATGGAAAGTAAGTGATTTGAGCAAAGATCTGAAGAAGAGAGGGAGTGAGCCCAGTAGGTAATTGGAATAAGAGCTTTCCAGGCATACACAATCAACTGGAGCAAAGGATCTAAGGTTAGAGTGTTCCTGGCATCATTAAGTGACATGAAGGAGGTGAATGTGGCAGGGTCAGTAGGGTTGAGCCTGGGGAGATTAACCAATGAGAACAGAGGCAAGGGAATGAGGTAGAGTGAAGTATGGGAATCATGTGACAGGCCATTGAAATTCCTTTGGCTTTCACTCTGAGTGAAATGGAAAGCCATTGTAGGAGAAGAAGAGTGATAGGAATTGGTGTGTTTTTAATAGGTTCATTCTGGTTGGTGTATGAGAACGAAATAGGGAGAAGCAAAGACAGTATAGAGAAACCCATGAAGAGAGTACTGCAATAGTCCAGGCAAAGGAAGATGATGGCTCAGGCCAGAAAGGGCAGTGGCAGTGATAAGTGGTTGAATTCTGAATATATGTTGAAGAAGAGCTAATAGGATTTGCTGCTGGACTGAACAGGAGAAAGAGTGGTGAGAGAAAAAGAGAAATCAGATAAGACTCCAATGTTATTGGCCTGACCAACTGAGAGGATTGAGTTGTCATCATTTGTGTAGGAGATGCCAGTAGGTGAAAGCGGGATTGTGGGAAAGATCAGGGGTTTGGTTTTGGATATGCTTAGTGTGAGATGTTTATCAGTCATCTAAATGGAGAGGTCAAGTAGGCAGTTGGGTATAAAAGTCTCGAATGAAGAGAGAGTTCTGGGCTGTATATATAAATTTGGCACATGAGATTACATACCCATGTATGTAAGTATACAGATGGAGAAGAGAAGAAGACCAAGGACTGAGCCCTGGAGTCCCCCATAGAGAGAGTTTGGGAAACAGGGGGAATCAGCAAAGGAGACAGAGGAGTGGCTATTGAGGTAGACAGGAAGCCAGGGTCCTGGAACTCCAGTGAAGAAAGTATGTTAAAAAGAAGGGAGAATGGCAGATGCTTTCTAGTGGAAGTGCGTTCTTAACACCAGTCTCCCCTGAAATTCTTATCAAAGGAAAGTATAACTGAACCCGTCCCTTCCCTTGATAGAGTGCATCTATGGAACATGAAAGAACATATCAATTTAATCTGTTCTCCTTCTAGCCTAGAGTAATGTCTCTAAAACTTGTGTTCTATGGAATGTCAGTGTTGCCTGGATGTTAATAATTCTTGCTTAGAGGTTGCCTATTCAAACTGATTTGGGGACTGCTACTCCTTTGGGACGTTCACACTGTAGCTGGCATAGTAAAGATTCAGAGATCCTGTAGGAAAAACTAACAAAAAGGTTATCTTTATTTAACCGAAAGGATTCCAGCCTTATTTGACCTCAACCCTTCACCCTCCTTTTTTTTTTTTTCATAAAACATCTATAACCACCTTAAAGTAAATTAGTGTTCTGTAGAATACAGTTTAAGAAACTGTTCTAGGAGATTTATGAATCTTCATGGTCAGGGATACTGTTGAGGAGGTTCATGATTTACAAGGGTATTTAGACAAGATAAATTTCAAGACTCCCTCTAGTTTTTATGATTCCAAAAATTAGACTTTCGTGATGGAATTAAACATAGAATTCAGAAGAAAAGAGAATTGGAACGAGCATGTACAATTACATTAATTTCCTCATCTCATCTAGACTGGTGCTTTTTAATAAAGTATCACCTTAGATGAGATTCTTACCTACTACTTAACGCTTACTCTCATTATTTGTATCCTGAAAAGTTCAGGAAGAGTCATATATTGAAACTACAAAGTAAAATCAATACAGAATATCATGTAGGGCCATCTTGAATATTGATACAGAAGTATCAAAGGAAGTCTAAAGATAGTGAGATAAATAGTTAGAGAGCTAAGCTTAATAAATCCATTCTGGCTAAGAAGCCTGTCTTTGCTATGGCATGATTCCCATACAAAGAAGTTTATCCTTGAAAATTTTGTTTTCAGAACCTGGCTGCTGGAATAAAACAAATTGCTGAGTTCTTTGGATTCTCTTTAACTGGGGAGCAGATTCAAACCATCTCAGCCCAGAGTACATTCCACGCAACGCAAGCAAAGTCCCAGGAAACACATGGTGCTGTCGGCCTGTTTCTGTTCCGCAAAGGTAAAGTCACCCTGGTTTCTGGGACACCCACAATTTGCATGTAATAGGCAATCCAAATAACTAGACCTTAAGTTAAGACAGGATTTCTTTTTTCTCTCCCTCAACAAGAAGTTTGACACAGTCAGTTCAGAACTAGACTGGCAGGTCTGCAATATCTAAGTTCCTACTACCTTTCTGCTTGGCACTTTGTGATGGCAAGATAGCAGCCAGAACAGCACCATTACATTAAAATTAAAGGACTGTTTTATTAAAATAAGGGACTAGCAAGAGACAGAATCGCGTGTGTTAGCTGAGTGGGGTCCCTTTAAGGAACTTTGTGGGAAGCCTCATCAGTAACTTTGTACACTTCATTGGCCACCTCTCTCTGCCCTGTTGGCTGGGAACTGTGATTTTTTTTTAAGGTGGGAACATTATTACTAAATTAAAATCAGGGTTTTGTTAACAAGGAAGGAAGAGATAATGAGTATTGAATAGGCAACTAGCTATGTCTGTCACTTGATGATTTTACCTAAATTTCATTAAAGCTTTCTAATTTCTTACAGAAATTTACGATAATATAGCTTAGGGATTACCAGGCTTTTTAACTGCATATATAATGAAAGTATAATGTGATTCAGAGCCAGCACACATCACAACGACAACTATCATTTATCAGGCATCTATCGTGTGTTAGACCTCTTGCTGGGCATAAATTTTATAGCAAAAAAAAAAAGATATTAATTCCTTAATTTTACTAATGTGGGCACCAAAGCTCAGGGATATTAATTTGTCCATTGCCACAAAGCTAATAATCGATGGAGTCAGGATTTGAACGTCGGTTTACTTGGCTCTACTACACTTTATCAAATGAAAACCCATTTAAAATCCCCACCATGAATGGAACATTGAGTATAAATCTGGCTTTGGTTTGATTCCTGAGTTTATCCCTGATTTTTATGCCTTGTTTGATGAACTTTAAAGGAGGGGAAAAAAGAGAACTTTTCTATTCATTGTTAATCAAGCACTATTCAGAACAGAAAAATTCGAAAATAAAGTAATAATTTAAAATTTTTACAATATTCCTCATAGAAAATTCAGAAAGCATGGGAAAATGTGCAAAAGCATTAAAAATTATCCACATTCCTCCCACCAGAGGCATGTTTAACTTTTTTGGCATATTTCTTCCAGCCTTACTCTGTGATGTCAGCAGATGACATCTGTAAACAGTTTTGTGTTTTACGTTATTCCCTTCATATATCTAAGCATTTCCTCCTGTCATCAAACCCTCTTGATAAACAGACATTTCAAATGGCTATTCAACAAGGAACTTGCACCTTCAACCCAAATCACCAAAAGATTCTAAAGAAAGAAGTAATTTCCTTTGCTTTTAAAAGTAATAAGAAAAACATATACTAATCTCAGGAAAATAATAACTTCCTGCAAAATTTTCAGTATCTGAGGTCTTCACAAAAACCTGCTGTAAAATGACAACTTCTCAAGGGGAAAAGTATTTAAAAGACTTCACAGAGAAAAAAAATGACTCTCAAAAAGTGGAATTTTAGGTCTCAAGGCTTGAGACAGGGGTGGGGATAGATCACTGAAGCCTGTTGTCCCCTCAGTGATGTAAAGAGCACATCACTTCCCATGCCACGGATGGGGAAGCCCCAGTGATACTGTTAATTTTACAAGACTTACATTCGTTCTTAAGACTCATTTTCTTCATGTGTCTATTTTCACATTTCAAAGTGAAATGCTGCACTGAAAAATGGTAAAATCGAGAAGAAATAGGGGTGGGGGTATGGGCAAAAGGGGTGAAGGGGAGTGGAGAGGTACACATCTCCGGTTATGGAATGAATATGTCACAGGAATAAAAGGCACAGCGTTAGGAATATAGCTCAGTGGAATTGTAAGGTGTTGTATACAGGTGACAGAAGGGAGAGACACTTGTGGTGAGCCCGGCATCACTTAAAGAGTTGTTGAACCTGAAACCAATGTAACACTGTGTGTCAACTACACCTAAATAAAAATAAAAATTAAAATAAA